TATATATATATATATATATATATATATATATATGATTTATACTCTCTTATTAACTTCATTCTTTTTTCTCTCTCTTTTCATCGTGTATGTTATTAAAGGTGTGTCAGTGTCTTTTTTTCTTTTCTTTCTCTTATCCCCCCTCCCCTATTTTCTACCTATAGGTTTATCAATTTTTTTCTCTCTCTCATTTTTCTCTTCTCTCTTTTAAAGAATGACAAATGAATATTTTTATTTATCATTCATGTGACCCATCTAGAAGTAAATTATTTAATATTCATCTATTACAATAAAAAAAAATAGATCGAATCAAATTCATTCATTTAATTTTATGGATGGTTAATGATTCATCCACCAATTTTTCATAATCCATTGGATTACATATGAGATATTTATTGGATTGAAATTTTTAAAAACTATTCTGACATAAAAAAAAATTGTAAATTTTAGAAGACTATATAAAAATATAATGACTTATAAAAAATAAAAAATTTCAAATAAATAAAAATTATATAATTTTCAAAACATTATTTTTATGGATAGATTGAATATCCATCTATAAAAAAAAATTGTTAACCGATAGATTGAATGAATTTTTTATATTAAGTGAATTGAATAGATTGAATTTTATGTAAATTTTTAATAAATCTAAATAGATTAATAAATTATTTTTATCTGATTTATTATAATATATATTTAATCCATGCATTATTCAACTTTATCTCTTTCTACCTTTAGGATTATCACACGAGTACTTCCGGCTGTTCTTCATCACTGTTTTCTATAATATACGTATATTATAGATACAATCTTAACATCTTTAGTCTTTAAATAAATTAATACAATCATGTATTTTATTACTTTATTAATCTTTTGCAACACAAACTAGAGACATGTTTCCTTTTAAATTGAGGGGATCAATAAAAGCTGGCGTCTTGGGAAAGAGTCAGATAAAGTCCTCTCTAACTACGAAAGAGATAATACAAGGATACTATATTTACATTGTCAATTTAATTTTTTTTTTTTAAGATTCGAATATATTGGGAAAAACTCAAGTCTCACCTATCCTAGATCATTAAAAAGGGTCACCCACCATTTATCCACGTACCAAGCCCAATAGTACTGGACGTGAGGGAGTGTATTGGGAAAAACTCAAGTCATACATCGACTAGAGATTAAGCAATTGAATAACATATAAGTGGAAAACAACCCTCACCTTACAAGTCGATTTTGTAAGGTTGAGTTAAGTTTAAATTCACTATTCTAACATGGTATCAGAGCCATTTAGATCCAATTTAAAAATGGGTCACCCACCATTGATGCATGCCTCATAGACATGAGGGGGCGTATTGGGAAAAACCCAAGTCTCACCTATCCTAAATCATTAAAAAGGGTCACTCACCATTTATCCACGTACCAAGCCCAATAGTACTGGACGTGAGGGGGTGTATTGGGAAAAACTCAAGTCCCACATCGACTAGAAATTAGTCCTTACCTTACAAGCCGGTTTTCTAAGGTTGAGTTAGAATATAATTATATAAGAGAATGTGAATTCTACTTCAATCTTTCATTGTTAGATTAACCATAATAGTTCCTTACGCATTGATGTGTACCAAACAACAAATGATTTGAAAAACTATTTCATTTCAAAGCTACCAAACTACGTTGAAAATGACCATTTTATTCTATCAAAATTCGGACCGTTCCCACCCCACAGAATCTTATACGTGTAGATAAGATCGTTGCTTGTTGTTTTCTTTGGGCTTAGGCTCCGAATCTCAACAACAACAAAAGTTACATGAGATGTAATTGCATTCCCCAGCGATATATGGTTTATCTGAAGTGAAAATAAAATCATATTTCACAGTAAGTTCCTTGTATGCAATCTTATCATTTTGCAAGAGTTCCTTGTACAGATATTTTACGTGCCCTTGAGTAAGGAAATGAATGTTGTCTCAAGGTTAGAAAGGATCTTGACTATTAGCAACAAAAAAAAGAAGAAGAAAGGATGTTGTGACTCTTTCCTAATTAAGATGCAGATCACCCATGAAAAAAAAAAAAAGTTAATATTTCTCATTTGCATCTCTTATAACAAAATGTAAAAAATGAATAAAAATATTTTCGAGAAGCTAGTAACATATATACAATACTTAAAAAAAAATATTATTCCATACCTTTTTTTATGATATTTTCTTCATAGCAGTTTGTTTGATAATTGTATACTCCACAATGCAATAATTTTCATATATAATTACTGTCCATTATTATTTCTCTTAAGTATCCAAAATTAATTACAGACAGGGATACATGAAGATATTTTATACAATCTGATATCATTATATATATGTTATATAAGTAGTATTTAAATCTCATACCATCCAATATGAAATTACTATAATATAATACTTCTCTGAGAAGGAAAAGTAATTTTTAATTCTATGAAATTAATAACGCATGAATAGAACTATTTATATATATATATATATATATATATATATATATTATATCGATAAACATCAGATTACTTGTGACATAAGATAAAACATTAAATGTATACATGTCATCGTCCTTTACTTATATTAGGACCATAGGGTGTTTATCTTTTATTTTTTATACTCCACGACATCTTTTATTAAAGATAATTTTGTCCAAATTAGATAAAATCATTTCAAACAACAAAATTTTCTCCTTAAATATTTAAAATTATATATTTATAATTCAAATTCGAAATAACTATGGTTAAATAAAAATAATTTATACCAATTAAGTTGAAACAATTTTGTGCCTGTGAAGTTTATTTGAAAGGCTTGAAGAATCGGTCCACATCACAACCTGTGGAGGCTTTTATGGATAGTAGTGGTTGGTTTGGAATAAAATAAAACTAGTTGTTTTTCTACACACAACTCTACATGATCATACATTTTGTCATTCTGAAATGAACTGCATAAAAGTCAAATTGTTGTGAAAATAAAAATTGGGCAGCCTCCTCCTGGAACAGCATTTGGATTGTTCTATTGGCATGCGTTGGTGCGGGTTGAGTCAAATCTCATATTGCTGTGCTACACGCTCTATGTGGCACAAAAACGTGTCATAAGATAATAGTTATAAAAACCAAAACCTACCTAACCCAGGATAACACAATAGCCAAATTCAACCGAATATTTTCTGATTTTCTCTATATACCCTTTTGGCCAATTCCCACGACTGAACCAAAACAAGAAGCATAACTAATAAACGTTTTTTTTGTTTTGTGTCATAGATGGAGGGTCTTCTGCCTCTGGTTTATAGAGCAATCAAGAAACGCAAAACTCGGAGGCAATATCATTGTCTTTCTTCAGGTGCTGCTCTAATGAACGTGCCCGAGTTCTACCCTCAAACCCAAGGCCATGGCTATTACGTGCAGGAACCTTCAACTAATTCAATGCAAAAAGTGGTTGATCATCATGCAGAGAACATTGGTTATCTGAGATATAATTCTGCTAGAGAATTTTCTAATGGCTTGTCTTCGCCTCAACAAAGAACGTGTGCTGCTAGATCTCCCGCTTCGGACCAACTCGTCAGGTTTAGGAGTCAGAAACTTTTTTCATGTCTCGCTGGTTAATTAATTTCCAAACTCTACGTGTTGCAATTGTAAATACATAGTGTGGTGTGGCCTTAATAATCCAACTTAATTTGTGGATCTTGTAGGTTCCTTGTGTTGATTAGACGTTTAATTAATGAAAGATCGTGTTCTTTAGGGTGTTAATTAATGGTTCCGTTTCGAAAGAAAGGTGTCTTTAGTTTTGGTTTGGAATTCTCAAAGTGTGGTTAAGTTACTAGATGCTTATAAATTACAGAGTACGTGTGACTTTCTAAACTCAAAACCCAATCATGGGATCACTTTGAAACTATTTTTCTGGGTGTGCCAAGATTAGAAACAAGAAAAGAAAGATACAAGATGGATGACATTTTAAATGTTACAAAAGAATATTCAGTTCCAATTCTTTAACTAATGCTCTTGCTGCGGTAATTTCTGATTACGGTTCTCCTTGGTCTGATTTATGTTGTTAACGCTTATTTAGGATTTATACTAATGGCTTTACTTTATTCGAGGTTAATTTGGATCGACTTCAATTTTATAATTAGATCCAATGCATTTTTTTAAGACCAATTAATTCAAATAATATTTGAGTTGTTCCATGTGATTTATTATCTATTTTTTCCACAAAAAAAAATACAAGTTTTTTTTTAAATGATCATATATTAATAATAGGTCATTTTCCAATTTTAGCTACATATATATGACTATCAAATCAATTAATTGGATGGATGGATAATATGATATGATAGATTGGTGTTATTGATAAAACAATTTTATTACAATTTTCTATTTGCTTTTTAAAATAAAAAGTCGCTTGCGTCAAACTGAATGCACTTTTTTAATTTCCAGATTTTTTTTTTTGTTGGCTTAACTTAAACAACGAAAACAACTGCTCCTATTTCATTCCGAATAATATGAATATAGTTAATGTTAAAAGCACTAGGATACTAGCAAAAAAAGAAAACAGGTAGAAATTTGTTTTATCTATAATAGTTCATATATAAACGGTATCAAATGCCTGTATTTTAGTACATGTTTGTAATATCAGTTTAAAGATTCTTACAAAACTTTATCACGTTTAGTTTGCACAGATCATGTACGCTGACAAAAAATTGAAAATTAAAGTACAACCTAAAACCAATCATACAAATTGTTTAGATATCGATGACAGGTCCTATATCAAGAAAAATATATTCCTTATACTCCAATCTCAAAAAAGAAAAATATCTTACTCTTTATCATTGATCGATAGTATAGTTTTTTTACACCATAAAACAACTAACTTAGGCACATACAAAAATAAATAAATATATATATATATATGTGTGTGTGTGTGTATCACAGTGATCGAAAAGATCAAATATATATATATATATATATCAACATATATACATCAACATATTTTATTCTACAATCAACTTTTCACACATTCCTTAAAAGTATTTTTATTATAAGTTAACCTTTAAGCGATAAGGGTTGGCTCAGTACTAAGTTAACTTTCTGCTCATAACAAGTTAACAACTACATGATTTGAATTCAATTCGAAGTATCTTTTGGGACAAATGGTATATAACTCCCTGGTGTAAATATTAGCTGAGTTTTATAGTTTATTTAGACTTGAAAAATCTATCTTTGTCTTAGTTTTCTTTAGCTTGACATTTTTTTTAAGCTTATTATAATTTCTAACATGAGAAATTGAAAATTGTTATGTTACAAGAGAAATCTTAAATTTTAGGAATAATTATTTTTTTCAACAATTAAATGAGCTTGAATACAATTTTTTTTCTTTTTTAATAATAGAGTATTTCTTTGTCGAGTCCTTGACTAATCGAATTTATTTATAGATGATGTAGTGACTATAAGTCTATTTTAATAAAATTTTAGAAAAATTAACAAAATAATTTTTACAAATTATCTTATATATAAACTAATTTAGACTTATAATAAAAATTTATTTTATTTTTCTTTCATATTTTTGTCTTATAAATATTTTTAGAGAAGGTTGTTGAATCAAATTTTATGTTATTGAGACGTGAATAGTTGGCGCAACTATATATGCCCTTAGCCTAGGGGTGCCCCTGAACCCTTGCCAATCCGGCTAAGCATAAAATGAGTGCCTTCGAATACTTTGTGATAAGCTTCTGGCTTTGGGTGCTAGTGTTCTTTTTTGCTTTTGATTTTGGTGCATTCCTTTCCATGAATATGGTAGATGTAGAAGTTTGTTGTATCCCACGTTGGATTTGACACACTGATTAGTTGCAGAATGATCTGCAACTTACCATGTAAGCAGATCCCAATATCAAAAGACCAAGGTAAGCAGCGATATGGAGAAATTATCAAGTAAGGAACGGATATGCATAATTTTTTTTTAAAAAAGTTTAATATTTATTATTATTATTATTATTGTCGTTATAATATTTTTTTATCAAATAAAAAATTATATAATTTTTTATTTATATATATATATATATATTTATAAATGATAAATTTTTCTCATAATATTAGTGCATGGATTCTTAATTTTAAATTAGTTAAAAAAATGGGCAGAGTGTAATAAGATAATTTAAATAGATAAAAAAAATTAACAAATAGATATTATACAAATGAGTAATAAAAATAGCAGAAAAAAATAGATTATTGGATGATCCTCAATTATAATATGTAGGATACTAATATGCTATTTATAATAATATTTTATATAAATAATTATAAAAGGTTTATTCTCGTTGTCGTAATAATAATAATAATAATAATAATAATAATAATAATAATAATAATAATAATAATAATAGTAATAATAATAATAATTTTTTCTTTAGTGTCTATTTTTTTAAGACATTTATTCTCCTCTACTATATTATAATATTTTATTATTAATGTATTTCTTAAAGATATAATAGAAAAATAAAATAAAATATGTGGATAAAAAGTTAATTATTCACTCCATTAATATTAAATTGTGCATTTATTTTTTTAATGGAGGTATGAAATATTTTTCATAATAATAATAATTAGACTTCTAATAATAATTAGAAGTTACTAATTAGTAACAAAAAGTTACTAATTGTCCTTTTTTCTCTCATAATAATTAGAAGAGAAACCAATTTTTAATTATAAATAATTAGAAGAAAAAAAGTGATTTGTGCTTTTATATATTTTATTTAAATAAAAAAAATAAGAAATGAAAGAGAAAATAGATGTAAGGAAATAAGTAAGAAAGTTTTGAATGGTAAAATAGTCTTAATAAAAATAGAGTCTAAAAGGTGGTTGGGAGTTTTAGTATTTTCTTTATAATATGTATATATTATTTAATATATTTCACTGAAATAAAAATGAAAGAGAAAAGAGATGAAATAAAATAAGTGAGTGAAATTTTGAGGGACAAACTAGTCTTAATAAAAATAGAGTCCAAAAAATGGTTAATAATTTTGGTATTGTAACACTTCTCAAATTTAATGTATCAGCTAGCGACTCTATTCCACGATATTTCACACTATGACATTTCACGCAATTTCTCATTGGTTATAACTTTTAAATAATTAAAATATTTCGTAGATATTTCTTTTTGATATGTTTGTCCGCTTTCATGATTAACAATTGATCACATAAATTAACACAAAACTTTTCAACATAGTTTTTCCTCACTTGCACATTTTCTGAAAAAAAAATTTAGAAAGACACTTATCCCTAAATTGTTCAAAGCTAAATATGTTTAACTATGAGATTCTTTTGTGATAACTTACTAAAAAGTAGATATATCTTATTAGTATAAATAGTATAAATTATATAAATTAATTTATTTAAATTATTCTCAATTATACAATTTCACACTTGTTCTAAATTTTTGAATTTCTCTCATTCTTTTTTGTGTCCTAATTATTACGGTTATCCTCTTTATAATATGAATAAATGTATAAATTATTTAATATATTTCACTTAAATAAAACTGAAAGAAAAAAAAAATGTACGTTTTGACTGATAAATTAGTCTTAATAAAAATAAAATTCAAAATATAGTTCAAAGTTTTGATTTCTTTTTATAATATGTATTAGATTAAAAAGAAGAAAGAAAAAAAGAAAAAAAGAGTACGTAGTTAGCGGGATTTTGAAAATCACAAACCTTGGATAAGGTACCTAATAGTTATTACAACATATATAATATTTAAAATATAATTTAAGAATTAAAATTCAACAAGTAATCAACTTATATTTAATTATTGATATTTGTAATAATAATAATTTATTTTTTAATAATATATAAATAATATTATCTTTTATAAAAATTGAACGTATCATTTAGATAAAAACATTAAAAAAAATATTAATCTTCACTTAAAATTTTTATTAAAAAAAATGTGTCATTTAAAAAAAACTTCGAGATCAGAACAATTCCCTCATATAAACCAACAAAAATAATATTTTACTAGTGATTACCTCATGAGAACAATATTTTACTAGTGATTACCTCATGAGAACAATTCGATTAATGCTTATCGTGTTCTCTGTCATGGGAGCCACACCTTCTCTTTATTCTCATCTGTTGCTCGTTATTTTAATTATTAACTTTTTAATACAACTTAGAAATGGTCAAAATTTGTTAAGACTACGTAGCAATCAATATCAACCGGAAGAATTGAACCGATCGTATATTTTTTTTCTTTTGTTATTATTTTTCATATTAGATCAAGTATTTGCACATGTCTAAATTCCATTAGGATAAAATTTTCCATGATGACTCATAGGAAAATAAGAAAATTAATAAAAAATACATTGAGTTTATCTATGGACTAAAATCAATTAATACACCCAAAATTTAGAGAAAAAAATGAAAAGAGATTTAAAAAAAAATAGTTAAATGTATAAGTTAATTTATCTGAAAAAAAACTAAAATTATTTTATTTCCTTTTCTATTATAAGTGTATAATAAGTGTTTACAAAAATATTTATTTAAATACCTCAATAATTTTTTCCCTCTGTAATGTTCATATTATGAAGTATTCTAATGTACCGGGTCAAAATCTAAACCAGCTAATTTCTGCCCTCGGACGATGGCAGGAGGTAATTTTGTATTTTCAATTTCAAAACATTTTTCAGATATAACCTCATCAAACTTAACACTTATATTATATTCAGCTGGGAGCCGTGGATTGAGAATTTGAGATGCAACACGCATCATGATATCATATCAATTGGGTCTAATTTAATTAACTTTTTAAGAAATAATTAGTTTGACTTTTTATCAATATTTCTATCATATTACTCGTTATGCGTGGGGCATTCTATTTGTAAATAATGATGGGATATTTTATTATAATTATTTTTATAAGGTTATTTCACACACAATTTCATAATAATAGATATTATTTATTTTGAATCTAACTTTTCATGATTTTATTTTTTATTATCATTTAAAAGGCTTCTCTATTATTAAGTATGTGTATGTTTTATAAGTGGTTAATTATTTTCTTATTTTATCGATGTAAAATTTATTTGTATCTTAACATATAATAATTGGATTTAGATATGTTTATAATCTCTTTATAAAGTTTTTTTTTAAATTATTTGTTGTTTAAATAAAAAAATCTTTATTTTTTTATTTTTAAACATTAAAATTATTATTTTACTCCTGTAAAATAAAAAAATAGTCTTAATTCTTGTAAAATATTAATATTTAATTTTTATCTTTTCAAAATTACTATTTTTTTTCTTGATGTTTATTTTAATGTACATAAGTATTTATTTTAGATATTTTTAAAACATTTTAGAATTGTTATATATAGTATCGTAGTAGTACTAAAAACACTAATAAGTGTCATTTAAGATAGTTATTTTGTTTTTTGATCAATACAACAATTGTCAATAAATAATACATAATAGCATGAAAAAAAATAATTTTAATTTTAAAGAATAAAAAAATAAAGATAAAATTTTACATGATTTAAACCAAAATTCACATATATTTACAAAGACTGAAAATATATTAAATGTATAATATATATATATATATAACATTGATAGTTAATATCTAACCTGTATTATGGGTAACTTTAAAAATATATATAAAAAGAATAAGTTATATAACCCACCTTTAATAGAAAGAAAAATAATTTCGATTTGGTCTCGGTCATGTCATATTCAAGTTCGAGTTTTTCTCAATTTATAGAAGGTTCAAATAAGATGGAACGTGAACAACTCAAACAATTTGTATCATTGTTATGAGTGGAGAAAGAGATAGATTATCCATGTCAACCCTTTTAACCCACCATTTTAAGTGGGTTGATTAAAAAATTTTATGGTAAGTATTTTTTTTAATATAATAAATATTTGTTAATTATTGTTTTTTTTTAATAATTACGTAGTGTATGATGTTCTGAGGCGTTGTTAAGGGGCTTTGATAGTTTAGAAATTTTTGAGGAGTTCTTATGCGATTTAAAGAGTTTCTCTAGACACATATAGTTTGACATAGAAAAAGGAATATATAAATTTTTTTTGTTAAGGATTAAGTTTCATAAGTTAAATTCTTCAAAATCTAGAAAGATAAACTAAAGATAAAAATGTTTTGAGCCATATGTCCTCTTATTCTCTAACCATTTTCTTAAGATAATGATTCTTTTATCGGAATCACTGATTTGGTAGTGTTTAGTTGATTTAGGTCTATAAAATCGTGAATTATATTAGTGGTGTTATGCGGAGTTCCCTAAGGCTTGAAAACCATTTTCTTCTTCCTTCTTTCTCTTCTTCTTGGATTTGGAGATTTTGGAGGTAAGGGGAGTTAGGATCGAATCTTAAGTGTCAAGGTCGTGATAGGCCTATACCTAAACTATACTATACTTGATAGTGATATTGAACATTTTTAGTTATAGTGATGACATCTGATAAATTATAAAAGAAAGATTGGTATCCCAATTTAGTTATTGATCTAACAAGCGTGTAAGATGCAAAAATGACTAAATTAATTCAATAGAGTCAAGTCACTTAGAATGTTCAAGTGTTGTAGGAGATCTCCATAAAAATTAGTTGAGACATATGCATATGATCTAGTGTGGTCTGATGTTGTTCATATGTCGGGTCTATATATGATTGAATGTCATGGTTGTGGTGCAGGTTGAATCTGTTTGAATTGTTTTTTTTTTTTTCAAACATGTTAAAGTGCTTTGATGTGATGTTATGTTGTGAATCATGAGGTGTATTATTATTAATTTGCATGTGGAGTTAATGAATAGTATAGTTGTTTTAGCTTTTATATTGGCTATTTGTTTATTCTTTTGAAATCTTAACTACTCTTACATATTTCCTTGTGATTATACTATGGTGATCATGATTATTCATGGGAGTAGAGTAAGGCTAACTAAAAATATGCATATTCAAATGTAAGATTTGTATCAATTGCTTAACCAAGAATGTAAGATTTATATTTTCATATTCAAATTACTTTACATATGCATATATACAAACACACGTGTGTGTGTGTGTTATAGTGTACATATCAAAGTGGTGTGAATTTTTTAATCCTAAGTGTATTAGTTGTTTTTTCCATGATTAGGTATTGGTTCCGTTAAGCGTAATGATCATAACAAGTCATTATATTTTTAAGTGAAAAAATTAGATATGACATTTTCTTTTTCCCTTTCTTTAATAAATGCATCTTTTATTTTATTTTATCTATTCTGTTTACATTTTAAAAAAATACTCTTATAATCTATTCCTTTTTAAAAAAAATAAATTTTGTTTAAATTCACTAAAAATATGAAACCATACGTACTTAAAAAAAATTATTCATAGACTAAAACTAGTTTATGTATATATTGAAAATAAACTTTTTTTTAAACTAATATACAAATTAAACTTTTTATAAATTAGTTTTAGTTTCTAAAAAAAATTATTATAGTTTTCTTTATATTTTTAAGCAGAATTTATATGAACTTTTGTTAAATTTGCAAAAAAAAAAAAAATCATGCTAGCAAACCCTTATTAGTGCATAGATACATAAATTTTTTTTTTGCTTTAATTTATATTATATTTATTTATTTTTCTATACAAAATATTATAAAGATGGTTGAAACAGTAAAACTCAGGTCCTTATGTTTTTATCCCAACTTATTTTCTCCCAACTACTATGTTACTTTTTATTTATTTATTTAAATTTATTATTATTTCAACACGAAAAATCTAATTTTTATTTAAACCAGAAATGTATAAAACCATGGGTTGCACGGGAAAGCGCTGTAGCAAAGCTACTATTACAGATTTTTTTTATATATATAAACGTTTTTTTAAATTAAATAAATGTTATATATATATATATATATTTTGTTTGATTAAATTTTGTTTTAAAAATAAGTAGTTGTCTTTTGAGAAGTAATTGCTATCTATTTTTTAAAAATTACTTTTTTCAATAACAGTTATTTAAGTTTTTTATTTTAATTTTTAATTTAAACAAAGGGAGTTGGGTGAAATTTAAAGTTTAAACCTGAAAACTAAAAGGTAGCTTTAGGTTACATTTGGCGCCAAACCAGAGAGAGATCGTAGAAGAAGCGAAATGGTTCAGCTGTGTTTCGTTCTGGATCTGCGAAGCTTGGCACCTCCGTTGCTAAGAGACATAAAGCAGGTACAGCTATGCCTTTTATTAGAACCTGCACAATAAGCTTCGTCTTCATCACAATCTCAACCTCTATGCTTTTAGCCGTTGCTTTCTTTTCTGAACCATGCAATTGCATCGATCCTAACAAATCGTCGATTTCTGAACCTTCGTGCCTCAATTTTCAGTCGCTGCTTCAACTCGCTAATTTTTACGCCATTTCGAGTTCGTCGTCGCACGCGCGCAAATCGGCCACGCTCGGCGATAAGATCGGTTTGTGCTACGTCTTCAAGAATCGTTTATCTTCTTCCGACGAGGTACTGTTTCCGAACCGAACATCTTTTTTTCTGATTCCTGATTTGGATGATAAATTCAAAATGCACGTGATATGGTTGTGTTATGATCCATGCGATTGAGTGAGTGATAGAGAATGAATCTGCTGGCATTGTAGTTGGTGATTGCGTACAATCCCATAGGAAACTTCAACCTACGCGATTTCCACCACGCTGTTAACAACTTGCCCTACGATGCTTTTCTGCTTGATATTGATAACGTTTCCGGTACTCTCTCTCTCTGAAGCCATATATATTTTCTCATTCTGTTAGAGCACATGTATTGACTGCTTCGATGGTTAATCTTCAGATTTAATGATTTCAAATGTTTTGAGTGAGCGAGTGTTGTATTCGTGGCAAGGCAAAGATATAGAGAGAAAAGTGGTTTTCATAACTTCGACCTTGCCTGAAGATGTGAACTCTATAGTGCAGAAGAGTCTTATGGTGAGTCAGTGTATTCATGACATGGATAATGGATTCTATGAATTTATGTCGTGTGATAAACATTTTTCCTTTTATCAAAAAACATAAACTGTCTTTTTTTTCCTTTTTCAAAAGGATGCTGCAGATAAATGTGTATCGGTTGATTTTGCTGTGCTTCAGCAGAAGTCGAGCCATCTGACTGATACTCGTGAAAACATCAACAGTTTTCGCCGTTGCATTTCTCATCTTGATAATTGCTCAGTTCAGACCTATATCCCAGGTTAAGTACCCTCACAATGTGTTACGACCATAGTTAATTTCGTATGTAATTTCTTTTGGGCATAGAATTTGAGCTTTGGCTTCGAAAAACACACAGAAAAGGAAAACTCTCTTGCAATGAATGAGTTAATTTCCTAAATTTGGACCTGAGAAGTTTATGGGAAGAGTCTAAAAAATTGCAGATTTCAGAGTATTCCACAGCCTGGTTAAAAGATGGCTGCAGGTTTTGAAAGATGACATGGAAGAGCCGCTGCTAGCTCGCCTCATCTTCAAGGACGATCTTTCTGATTCTGTGAACCATATATTCTGCAACCTGTTTGCGCCAGTCAATCCAATAACCAACACCTTCAGTCAATGTCGGGTAACAGTGCTTACAATCCGCATTGACTGCCAGAGTCCACTTCACAGTTTTGGCACACGTGTAATTTTGATATTTTAATTGAAAACTATCAAGATTGTGTTCGCTGTTTACTTTACATTTAGAATCACACGTAATGATACCATAACTTAATATGCTCCGAATAGTTGATGGCTACTGGCTAGTGATATATTATTGCCCAAAAGATTGCACCCCATGGTTTATCCATTTTGAGAATAGCCATTTTAATGTATGTCCTTTTCTAAAGATAAGAAATCCACGGGTTGCTTATGATGAAACTTACTTCTAGGCTGTTGATTTTCTTGATATGTATGCTACTGTTAAAAAGTGTTTTGGAGTTCTAATCATATATCATGGACACATCATAATTGGTATGCTTTTATGTAACTTTGAATATCGGGTGAACTTGCGAATATATTTTATTGTTTAGGAGGAATTACACTTGTTTTTTAGTCCAAGTAGTAACAGGATTTGCTATGACCTTTTATTATCGTCCGACCATTACTGTTACCGAAGCTTTTGCTTCACCTTTTAAATTAAGCAGAAAAACACCTTTACTGTAAAACAATTTGTAGAGTTATGACAATCTTCTAATGAGCATGTTACACTAAAACTAATTGCATATATTTGTTGGAGCGAACTGCTGAATTTTGGTTTTGCCATTCACAAATCCAGAGGCAAACTGGTACACTATCGGTGTTTGTGAAGAATATTATTAATTTTACACGAGGCATTTTAATGAGACAAGTTATGTCTTCAATAACATCAAGTAGACCTCTTATATTGATCATTAAATAATTATGCCATTTGAATGCCTTTTACATCATTTATCATGATTTCTTGTGCCATCTAGTATCCACAAGAGTTCTCTTTTTCTTTCACTTTGAATTCCACTTATTTAAAGGAAGAAGCATTAATTATTGGAATTGTACATGTACAGACATGCAGATGTCATGGCATTCCTTTGGGAGATGCTGAAAAAAATTTCAGCAGACTTTCTTGCTCAGTCACTGGCTGCATTCTGGAAAAATGTGATGTTGTTGAAAATTCTGTTCAAGTTGGGCAAAAAACTATTCTTTTTCTTCCCTCATTCTATAATTCCATGAAGCTCCTGCAAATCACTTCACCAATCAACATTACTGTTATTGAGAGGATAAATTTGGCATCTCTTGATGAAGGCAAGTATTTTCTTATGGTCTTTCACTTGTAACTTCATTTTATAGCATCATGCAAGACGGTTTTTTTTTTTTTTTTTTCATTTCAAATTAATCTGTAAAAGGCAAATTGAGTGATTGCACAATCAAATGATTGATCTAGCATTATAGTATTAACCCACTGGAGAGGAAGGAAACCACATTCTTTCACTTCCTTCTTTTCTTTTCATCTTTTCACTTTCAAAATTTTGAAATTTATTTCACACAAGTTTTACTCCTCTTCTATGACGGATAAGAGTTCTCTGTATAATTTAACCTTCTTTCCACAATAAAAAAATTGATTCCTTCTGTTACATTTTTATGCAGGTCTTATAATGGGTGCCTCATATGTTGTGATACCATCATCTTATCATGTGATTGAAACAACTTCAGACGACGCTGATCAGTCTGACCTGAATGTTCAACGTGTGTAGAAAGCTCTACTCCCCCTTTGAAATTCATTTAATTCTGTCATCATTACTCCTGAATTGTTGTTATTCAATGTATGTTGGTCCAAAATTCTTCACAAAGTTTGTTTCTTCCATCATGGCTATAATTTGGCAGTTTTTCGAGGTCTTTCCAGCTTTCTACATTCAATGAACCAAGGTTTGATATGCTCTTCAAGTTGTGATTTAGAAACAATGGCAGAGGCTCCTTATTATTGCTATTACATTCTGCAGCCATCAGATACTGGACCAATGCTTTTGAGGGTGAGAATTAACCCCTTTTTGCTGTTCTTTATCCCGCTTGTTCTCTGCACATTCACACACAGTAGAATAATGGTAATCATGCCAGTGACATTCCAGTGCAGCAGAATTACTTTCAATTGTAGCTTTATAATCAATATCAATAAAACATGCAGCGCCTTGCAGGGGCAGAAGAAGTCCTACGAGTTCCTGACAATCAATTAGTTAATTCACCATTCAACAAGGAAATTGAGAACTCTGTTCAAGCCTGTTTGCTAAAGGTTAGTTTAAACAATTTTCTGAAAATATCCTTTTCTTTTTCCCTCCAATGAGAGACTCATGTATATAAATGGAATTTTATGTTTGCATTATATTGACAGGATCATTTGTTGAGAATAACTTTTGCAGAATCTTGAACGATTTTAATTATCAAATTTTGATGTTAAATTTGGATTGAATCATTTAAATATTTATAAACGTGAATAAGCAAGCACCTTGTATGTTGGAATGTTGAAACCAATTTTTTTTTGCAGATCGATCTAACAGATTATGACCCATTGCTGCACGAGAGAGGCTTTCATCAAAAACTAAATATGCTTGTCAAAGAAAGCCTACAATTTGGGTTAGTTTATGCGTCCAGCTGACGTGTGAAAATGCATGAACTTAAGAACACCCTTTGGACATGAACAATCTCCCAAAACAACGTCTTTCAAGATTGAAAAGAATTAAAAATAATATGAATTAACGACCAGTTCTTTTGCGCAATGCTGCCAAATATAGCAAAACTTGCTATTTGTTTTTTCGTGGACAGTCATTTTCTACACGACCTGAGAATTCTTACATCTAATTTTTCTGAAGAAAAAAGATGGCCGTATATTTTAATTCAAGGCTTGTTTTTCGCTCGTTTTTCTAAATGAACTATGATAGCAAACCAGTTGATTAGCTGAATATTCAAAGTTGTCTATTCATTATGCTGCAGGTCAGTATTTTCTAAATTAGAAGGTGATTTTTCGGAACTAAGCTCGAGACAACAACCTTCGTCGGAGGTGATCGGTAAAGCAGAACCAGCCACTGGGGTCATAGTGGACGAGGAAACTTTGGCATTGGATATTACGGACCAAGACGACAAAACCATAGCCTGCATTACAGAAGAATGGAAGCAATTGGTTGTAAGCGAAGACCCCAAGTTGTACTCTCCACCTTGTATGTCCAAAGCCAAGTCGGGTCAATCGAGTGTATCACCACGAGATGGTAATGGGCAGCTAGACAGGGAAACTTCAAGGATTTTGGAGAGATTGGAGGTTCCGAGGCCATTGAAAGCAAAGATCACCTCTCCCATTTCAAATGAAAGTTGCATGAAAAATACCAGTGTGCCCATAAAGAAGCCTCTTATACCATTCCAGCCAAGTCAAGGGACAGAACAAGTCTTTGTAGGCAGCCAGCTAATGAAACCTAATTTCCAGAGGCAGAAAAGGAAACATAGATGAAAAGAAGACAACTCCATGTTTCACGAAAACATATCTTCAAAAGTGGATAAGGTTAGTACTTTTTCCTTCCCCTTCTCCGTTGTGCTGCAAGTGATATTTTTCCATATTTTTATACAAAACAAGCGTCAGCTAATCACGAAACATGTTACCGTTACGTTCGTTTGTGTTTAAAAAGCTTAGTAGTATATTTTGGATACTGAGTTTACTTTGGACACAAGTTTAGTAGTTTATGAATAATAATAATAAATTATACCTATATATAAAAGAGATTTCTATTTTGGTGTGCATATTATTATTGATAATATTAACCTTTAAAAAACTGTATAATAATAATTAGTAAATGTCAGAAAAGCTTTTTTAATAAATTTTTATTTTAAAAAAATTCTTCATAAATGTCCAATATCTCCATTAACATATATAAAGAAAAGAATGCATATATAAAATAATAATTACTTTTTAAAAATAGTAATTACTAACTTATTTAAAAAATATTTAATTTTTTGTTGAAGGCGTAAAGTGTTTTTTTTTTATTGTTAATAATAATAACAATAATTTTACTAGCATACAAAAAGAGTAAGGCTCGTCATATGATGATTGACAAAACTGGATTCATTTTATAAGTAATTTACTAAAATGGGACTCTTCTCAAATAATTTGAGATCAGGGCAGTCAACAATTTTTCATGCCTCATCAACATTTTTTATTTTTTCTGATTCGTTTAAGATATTGAATTTTATTTTCTATTTTTTACATTTGTTTATTTTTTTATAAGTCTCGATGTACTTTTTTTTATTGCATATCATATTTTGTTATTTTATAGTATAAATGACAACTTATATATTTTTATTTTTGTTTATATTGATTTTAAAAAAATATATTAACCTGTTATATAAAAAGTTAATTTGTTTTGATAATTTATAATTTTTATATTTTAAAAAGTGAATGTCCCATGAGCTAAGTTGTGTGGCTCACAGCCCACCAAGAACTAAGCTAGCAAATTTTAAATTTATTGTTAAATTAAACCAACGCAACTTAACTTAATGCGTGTTTGGAAACGCGTCAAAATCATAAAAATCACGTGAAAGTTATAATTATTTACTTCTAACTCAACGTGAAAATTCGTGTTCGGAACGCTGAAGCAAACACGCTATTAAAGAAGCGTTGACACATATTGACAACTTTACTAAAAATTCATACATTATCATCATTAATATATTCCATTAATTATCCACCTCTTATCATCATCATCACTAATTTTTAATCAACTACTTTTATATCCTTATCATGTCTTGTAAATAGTTATAATTATCATTATTATTATAAATGTCATATTATATATTGTTAGATTGTTAGTGTAGTCACAGTAATTACTACTATTGTCACTATATATGATTATTATAATTGATACACACAAAGGAGAGAAGAGAGGAAAAGGAAGAAAAATGAATGAGGGAGAAGTGTTTTGGTTTCAAATTAGATATTAATAAATAAATATATAAAAAGCTCAGTCATTACATTCATTGCTCAAATAGGTATTACTAGCATGTTAAATAATGGTTTATATTTTAAAAACTCTTTTCAAAAAACACAAAATTTTGAAAACCAAAAAAGTTGAAAACTATTTAAGTTTGTAACTGCGTGGAAAATCCAACCAAAAAAAAGACAATCAAACTAAACAAGACTAAAATTTTGGTGGCTAGAGTCAACAAAGCCATTAAACAACCATAATACTATTTATATACCATTTATTATTGTCGTTGTTAAATAATTAGAAGACACATTTGAAAACAATTTTCTTTTAGCTTTTATTTTCCTTTTTAAAAAAAAAAAACAGAACGATTACTGTGATATAAACTATAAAGAACAAAATAATTTTTTTAAAGAATTATGCATATAATATTAAAAATACCCGACCATGTGTGGTAAAAGAAAGGAGAATCAATATACTTCCCTAATAGAAACACTATGATTATGATGCTAGAAATGTGATATCAATTATCAAACACCATCTTTTTTAAGATGAATTTCAGGCATTAATGAGAAGAAAAAAAATATTCTACCTTCCCTCTTTTAAATAATGTTGTCAAAATGGACTAAGCGGAAAATGACATGCCCAGTTTTAGAGGTAAGCTTAGTGTCTATTTTTGGGCCTCTTTACGTGTCATAAATTCTGTCATCAACATTTTGCTGTTGCCAAACCTAAAGTGGCTTTATCTCGGACAGCATATACCATCTAGGGATTCTTTCATTGCTGGAATTCTAGATAGAATGAAAACTATGGAAGTGTGGTGTCAACTGTCAACGCGAAATATTTGTCCTTGAATTCTTCTGACGTACGTAACTCAGATAGATACACAGAGATAGCGAAAGCAAATTTGTTTATTGCATCCTGATATGAGTAAGAAAATCAATATAATTCCAATTTCCAATTAAAGTTGATGAAGCTCATCTGCTCATGCAATCATGCATATAGTTTAGGGGATCTGGGATGGGGAGGCTGTTTCATTAAACTCAAAATTATGACAATATGATCATATGAAAATCATTAATAAGCCTCTTGTTAAGATCAAACACTACGACCAGCCATACTGATATCTGAATCAATATTCCTGAATTTGGTGACTAAATCAAAAAGCACTGGGATTAAGATATAAACGATCAGGTTGACTCCGGGTAAATAAATTTATCTTTTTACTATAAATTAGAATATCTAATTTGAAGAGTGAAGCACTCACTTTCTTTACTTTTTAATTAAAATTCTCACGATTATTTCTCTTTTTCTTAGGAATTATAATTCACGCTCAACTAAAAATATATTTCTGAATTATTTTTAGTTACTTTCTTCTGTCTATCTTTTATTTTTGGTACATTAGGAATGAAAAGGAGGAAAATGAAATCAAAGCAAAAGCTACACTACTGGCACTTCTTTTGTCTATCTCTATATCTATAGGTTGATTTTTTAACTATCCGTCTATTTTATTTAAAATAACTTTATATTACAATTTAAATTATTTATCATAAATCTAAAATATATTTATATATTTCAAAATAGTTTTTATTATAAATTATCATTGTATAAAAATAAATATTTATTCCATACAACAAATGTTAAAATACTTGTTATATATAAATGGATCACGTGAATTTTGCGATTAATCAACTGAAAGACATCGGGGGATTAATGGACTATTATAAACAGTGCACTCCGGCTGGACAAATTATTTTCCCTTCTGTATACTTTCTAGTTCTCCCAGACCCCTTTCCCTGTATTAACCAAAAATGAGAAAAAAGAAAGAAAAAAATAAAACTTGTATTTCTCCTTAAATTTACATGGAAATGAAGACACGCAAATACATTGACCATTTTAACCCCTTTTGTAATTGGTAGCCAACTCACTATTTTAAGCATTTAACCTCGCCTGACTTACTCCTTTTACAAAGCCATAACAACCATATATAGGAACTTATTTATCGGCCATCAACAGAAGGGCTCTACATGGATTATAGTGGAATCATATAGGTGGTCCGTGGTGGGGATCAAGGTGGACAATAAGCTCGTTCCACCTCCTTCTGATCCTGTTCTCGATAATCCACTATCTTGTCAGAAATTTTCTTTATGGAAGTCGTAAGTGGTGGATGTGTTGTGAGAGAAATCCAATGCTAGCTGACGAAGCTCGTGGGTGATTGATGCTGGCCCGCAGTAAAATACCCCTGCATTACATAAAGCATGTTGTCTCTATCTATTGCAATTTAATGATAAGTCTTGAAGGCAATGAAACATTTAAAAAGTCTTAAAGATTGATGTTGATGGAAGTATTTAAGGAAAATATTAGACACGCAAAATGCTATTTAAGACTTGGTGAAGGAGATAAAGAGAAAAAGATATAGTCGATCAGACTAGCACATGCGTCTTTTTTAAAAAGCATATTCTAGTTGATCAGCAATTATTGAAGTGTTTTAACTTTGACCGAAGGATAGAAATAAAGAAGCGCAACGTCAGTTCCAGAAGTGGGAACTCACCAACTCGGGCCTGTGGATGATTAAGCGCAATGCGCTTGTAGACACTACGCCAATTGGGCTTGGCAAAGTGAGACATAACACGTGTGCCAGAAACAATGTCCACTCCATTCTTTGCATGGTTTAATGACTGCAACATAGCAATAAGAGCAGAGCGAGCATCACCCTCTTCATAGACGCTGGTGCAGTAGCTGTGGAGCTCAATCACTTTCCTTCGGTCCTCTTCAGCCACCTCGTTCATCACCCCTTTGAACCAGTCAAAAGAACCCTGCTCTCTGGTCACCCAGTAGAAGTATGCCCTCCTTGTCTTGAAATCACTCAACCTGGCACTTCTTTGTTGGGTTGTTAGTGGTGATTTAGCACCACCTGACCCACTTATTCCGTTTTCTATTGCGATCCCCTCCTCCTCGTCCATGGCCTTAAAATTATTCACCATGTCCTTTAGTATACTTATCATTGGGGTAGCTCCAATTCCAAGCCCCACAAGTAAAACCACCTCATATTCCCTGTAGTCTTGTGCTGGCGCCCCATACGGACCATCCACCAGAACTTTAGGAAAAGGACTGCATTTATAAAATATCACACATGATTATAATAAAGAATCCATCCTTTTTGTCATTCAATGCTTAATTAAAAGGCTTTGTTGCTATGCAAGTGCCATCGGCTCCAATCTTTTGGATTATGTGTTTCTATTTATTTTATTTTATTTGTTGGGTACAGGGTTACGTATTTTCCTTTACAATACTTGTGAACTCGACTCACTAAATGCTAGTACTGACAACTTAACTTGCATGTAGAAATTTTCAATAGGCGTCCTTATCACCCCTAATATTTTTTTAGTCCAGATAACAACCCCTCCTTTGCTGCGCGTGACAATAGAATTTAATCATAAATCATACACACTTATTATTTGAAGATCAAAAAATTAATGCAGTACTTGATACTATATATAATTATCTCTATTTTTTTTGTGCACACATTTTAAAAATACATATCAAAATCAAGTTGGACAACCTTTTATTATTTCGTTTTAATGTTGAGACAACATTTTCCAAAATATTAAGCATGTGAGGTGCTTGGAAATCTCGGTAGCTGTCATTGACCCCAAAACGAAAATCGACAAACATGCTCTGCATGATGCTAAAGTTTTGTTAATTAATTTCGAGCCAACTTGCTATGTGCTATCCAGCAGCCATCAATTATTGGATCTGAAATTTTCTCTAATCAATTCAAAATTTGGTGAAGGTTTTTCCAACAGACTCCAAGTGTTTAATTAATTTCTAATTGTGTCTTTAACAGACTAGCATCCTAACCTAAGTAGATACATAGGTGGTTCTGGTGAGATTTAAACCTCTATTTTACGAGCAAATTTTACATGGAACTCGTTGTGGGTTTCTTGCATTTTTTTTTTATTAATAACAAAAATTATAATGATGATAATAAGATTCAAACTTAAGAACTTAAACAAAGTTTCTTAAATAGATAAATTAAAGAATAATTTGCATAATAAAAATAGTTAATATCACAGAATTAGTTAAATTCTAGTTGTTATGAAATTTCTATTATAGTGCATTATTAAATTGATAATTATTTCTGACAAATTAAAGTATATTAGCATTCAGTTAATTTTATTTAAATATGATTTGATTAGAGTACCTGATGGAACTGATACAGTCCTATGTAAGTTAATGTTATTCCCAATAATGTGAAGTACCAAACTTTAGTTGTTGCCTCAGCTATCCATCACATATTCATTAAATTCCCTACTTCAAAAAATTAAAGTAAAATAAAATAAAATAGGGCTTACGTTGAACTGTTCTCTCCTTTCATGCATTCAGCTCTTAGAAGTCCACTCTGTCCATTGAGAGGTTGCTGGCACGCCTGAAAGAAAGCAAAGCAATATAGACTGGTTAATTACGAGAAAGCCACATTTTAATAACAATAAAAAAAAACATTAATTCACCTGCGAGAACTTGGTTTTGAGACTTCGAGTCCAATCACCAAGTATTTTTATGTGAACGCTAAGGTAATCATCATCAGGGGCGGAAGTTATGGAAAATGGATGCCTGTGAATGCATAAACAACGAATATACATGAATTAGATATTGTGAAATAAAAAGTATAGAGGCGGAGGAGGCTCAGGCACCTCAGGGTGTTAAGATGGTATTTACGTGCAACATTTCATATAGAAGACGTTTTGTCAAATGCATACCATTCAACTGGAGACACAGCAGCACAATTGACAAACATGTATTGTCCACTTCTGTAATCAAACCCCTGCGGCTTTGACATTTGAAGTGATAACACATTTCCAGGATAAAGAGTCACCTTCAAATTTAACATTGAAAGTGAAATTAGATCTTGACTTGTGCATACTTCTTAAGCATAGCCATGAGTAATTATGATGGAACCATGTGTTTCAAATAATTGAGTTTTAATTATTTGAGACTTACCTTCAATATTTTGACGGACTTAATGCTCGATCTCAGTGCTCTAATCAGTCTTTCCAATATATAAATGGTGATGGGAACAGCCAGATACATCCAGGTCTACCAAAAACATAAATATTAAGTGTCTGTGAATCGATTATCTTTCAAATCAAAACAACTATATAAATATACACATAAAGGTCAACTGAAGGTGCTAACCGTTTTCTTGTACCACTCCTTAGACAAGTAAAGTTTGATTCCGTGCACAACCAACATGGCATAGACAATGATGAAGAGGTGATGAGAATACCAAAATGCATTGAAACCTGTGACTTTGTCGAAGGGTTTGGGTACTTTGGCCCGGCCTCTCCGGAACCTAGGATTGGCCAGCGTAAAGGCTATTGCCATTAGCACAACCATAACAATCCCTGTTACTCCTTCCCATGATTTGATAAAATACCAATAATTTGGTGGTCTATCTCCGAAAAAAGGTTTCATCAGCTCGTACTTTTCATCGCTTGCATGAAGAAGGCGAGGAAAATCACAAGTAAGATGATAAATACCATGTATAGCAACACCAATTGCTATTGCCACAGCTATCACCTGCAAAAATAAAATAAAAAATACTTATTTTTCATGCCTGATTCACCTGTGAAAGCTGGTATAATCCTACAAGCATATGAATTGAAATAGATGTTTTCTTTTCTTGTCACTCTTGAAGGAGCAAGCTGAAGTAAAAATTACCTTGTGGAAGTTGATGTTATCATCCAAAGGAACTGCAACACCTAGTTTGGTCTTGTTCCTAAGCCAGGTGATGGTGTTCCGGCAAACTGGTAACAAGATAAGAGCCATGTTCAATTTAAGTGTCTCGGCTGCACCTTTTGCCATGCATACACAGTGGCCCATCACCTCATAGGCAGCTTTTCTTCGATACTGCACAAATTTATAGGCAAATAGGCCTAACATCACACCAATCCACAGTGCAATAACCCAACATCTTTGCCAATTGTCCAGCAAGAAGTACTTGGTATCTCTATACCACCTTATAATTGGACTGTCCACATAGATAGGCTTAAGCTTTTGGCTTAGCATTTGGCTCAGGTTCTTACTTTCTCCTCTTGTAGTTTCCTCTGGTCCATGCAGCAAGAGCATCTCCAGGTTATCTATCTGTTTTTCCCAATAAAATAAACAGTTAAAGAAATTAGGCTGAATGAAGAATTCTATAACAGTGAATGGAGTTTTTCCAGTCTTTAGGATTGGTTATTTCATTTACCATGATGTACCCTGTGTCATCAGGGTCCAGTTCTTCCATAATCAAAGCCGCATATTCCTCTGCTTGTTTCTGGATGTTTGACAATTTGTTGGCCGTAGCACTAAGGCATATAATCTGAGACCAGAATTTATCAATCTTATTAGATGGGAGGGGAAGTTCGGACTAGCAAAATTTTCTGATAAACAAATTCATACTACTTGGAAAGTAAAGTCTGTACAGTTCGTGGTGAACTAATGAGGTGGTACCTCTTTAATTTCTTCCTCGGTGATTCTGCCATCTGCATCTTTATCAACCCTGCATTTCAAATCCAAATTAATATTAGTGAAAGGATGACAGGAAAAGCAGAGAAATGGTTTAGTGTTTATATGAACCAAAACAATGAGTTACATGTCAAAGAATGTTTTGAGCCTAGTATCAAAGCTCTCATCAGAAATATGGTCCCAGAACTCCCTCAACTGGATCTTGTTAATGGAACCCCCCTGAATACATCTCTGGCGAGCAAGAGTATCAAAAAGCTTCTCTGCATAAGCCTCGGACTCCTTGTTCAACCCTACAACCAAATCCAATGATATATATATACTCAGAATCAGAAAGCTTTGAAGCAAGATGGTGGGTGAATATAGGCATTGGAAAAGCTACCTAAGCATTGGGCAAAGAGAGCACGAGGAAGATAGCCATCGGTGGTAGCAGTAAGCTTATGAAAGCGCTTCTCCACCTCACCCCATCCTGCAACACCATCAGTCTTGCTGATGAACTTGAGGCCGGTGAGGGCATGACCCACTGCAGACTTTGTCCTCTCAAAGTGCTTAGGCGCTGGCTTCGAAAACGATGCCAAACGCTTGAGCTGCTTCATGCGAATGGCAGCATTCTGAACCATGGAAGCCCCCAAGGATGTTTTCCTCTCAAGCCTCTTGCTCTTGGAACCCAACTTGCCACCCTCCTCCATGTCAACAGAATTAATGCTATGTAAGGCCACAGAGCCAGCTTGGATGTCCATGGTCACCTCAACATACTGTCCTCCATCTTCACTCCTTTCACCATCAATGAGCTCTATATCTGACTCATGCTGACCACGAAGATCTGCAGAAGCTCCTGCCATTCTGCCTTTTTCTTTTGTCTGATGTCTCAACACCACTCTTAGGTCTCTTTGCTTTGCCTTTGCCTTGCCTATTCTAGTATTTGTACTACGTATACTATGTAATTGTAATGTGGACAACAATGACACCCAGGAAAAAAACACTTATTTTGTAGCCTATTACCATACTTTTCTTTATTTTATTACAAGCTTTTACCTTATCTAACCTGCCTTGCATTCACTTCTAACTTCTAACCTTATCATCTCTCCAACACTACCGCTGTAACTGCCGCAACTCACTATCGCTCTCACCATTATCATATTCTTATGATCATAATAATAATAATTCATTATGATAATTTAAAAATATTTTGTAATAAAATTAACATTCAATTATTCACCAAACAATATATGAAAACAACAAAATATTTAATAATTTAAGAACCTAATTAAAAAAAATTCAAGAACACACCGATATATTAAATATTAATATAATTAACTTTATAATTTGTAGTAATAATCTACCAACCATTTGAGTCTTTTTTTTATAATTTAAGATTAATCAATGTTCGTAATTCCAAAAGTTAATTTAATGCACTATTCGTATAATTTATTATATCGTAAAATAACATATTATAAACTCATAACTTTTAAAAAATTATTCATTAAATTTATAATAATGATATAAGAATTTGAAGAAAAAAAACTTGTATATATATTATTTTAACTCTTACTAGATGGAATCTAAAATTGACCTGTACCTATTAAAGTTGAGTGTGATTATTTCACTCAAAAAAAAAATCTCCCAACATAAATTTTCCTCGTTCTATTAATAACATAAAATGTACTATCTTTCATTAATATAGAGGTTTGGCTCGCCTAAACGAGTAATGGCGAAATGTGTAATATCAATAGTTAATTAAAAAAATAATTAATATATATATATATATGATTTATTATGTATACGTACATAATTTGATATATATAAAATAGAAAAAACCTTTATTTATACATTTAAAAAATGAGTTTCCCATGATGATTGGGTTTATAGACAGAAACGAAAAGCTGCAACATGCAAATGCAACCACTGTGAAAGGGAAAGAACAAAGAAGGCTTCGCACGTTCCTCGTTTGTTCGTCTTGGGAGACATACAAGCTATGATTGGAAACCAGCGCCACAAATTTCGAACACTCCCACTCATAACAAATTCATCATTCATAAATATATATTTCTAACTTTCTACTATTTACTTTACACAAAACAAAAATTCAAAAACCCACCCACCACTTAATTTTAAATATGTCTTCATAAATAAAACAAAAAACAATTTTCCTTCCTTTTATTAAAAGAACCATGACCATTAGCTAAGGAATTAAGGATTTGACAGATGTCAGATACAATATTTTAGATAATATTAGTTAGTGTTAATCATTGTAAAAAAAATATTAGTTATTCTTATTCTTTAATTAAAATTTACCTTTATAATATATAATAAAAAAATATAAATTATATTTAATAATACTACTAACAATATTCATAATATGGTATTTAAGTTTACCCTAAAGATTATTTTTAATAATTATTATTATACATTATAATGACCGACTACTAAGTTGACTTTGGTATTTAAGTTAAATACATTTATTAATAAAAAAAGGTTATATATAATTAAACCTTTAAGTAAAAGAGATTAAAATGGAAAAAAAAAATCAGTAAGATTAAGAAAAATGTAAGATAAATATTAAATTTGTGAAAACAAGACCATTATTATATGTTTTTAAAATTAAAGTAAATTTTCAACGTTTAAACCTCTTGTCGGTTATGTTTGATTTTTAAATTATATTAAATATAAAATGTACAATTTTTTCAACGTTTGAACTTGTTGGTTTTGTCTTATTCTAGAATGTAAATATAAGCCAATACACCAAACTAGGTTAATTTAATTTTACGATTAATTTATTCAGTGTGTATATCTTATCCCTTAAGGCAGTATATTTTTCATTCACAATAAAATATACTTGAGCGTAACCTTTTCTTTGGTAAAAAAAAGACATATACCTTGACCTCTGAGAGTTTTATAACTATTGTTTACATAGTTAATATTTTAAAAAATATTTCTTTTGATGATTTCTCTTGGACCAGTAATTAAGCACTTGTTTTAGTACCCACCACACCACAACCCAAAATATCTTAAAAGATAAGCAAAGAGCGCAATGAGAGGCATATATCATGTGATGCACTCCCACTTTTTCACCATTTTAATCTCAATCCATGCATGACGCATCATTTTTTAATTATTAACTTATTATAAACACTGTGGATACAAATTAATAAGAAATATTAAAATCTTGCACATGCCTGTAGTCACTATCACACTCACATTCATGCTTTTAATTACTTAATTATTAGCTTCTGTTAACTAATCATCAACAGTCAACACATCTTTTTTATGTAGTTTTTATATGTAAAAAAAATATAATTACAGATTTGAATGTAAAATTATATATTTATTATTTTAGTTCTCTAGCTACTATTAGCATTTAAAATTAATATAATTTAAGAGGAGGACTAAATTACTTCAAAAATTAATGTTTAAAAAAGGTAATTAATGAAAATATCTAAAATGAATGTAATTGAATGAATTGAAAGTATTCCTTTGCAATTGGCGATTGACTTGGCTTTTAAATGGAAAGAGTGAAAAGCAATCATTCAGAGATGTGGGAATCTTTAGAGAACTAGTCAACACAACCACTCAATAATGAGTTGTTTGGTATGAAATAATGGAAACATAATGCATCATGCCATCATGCATGTGTATTGTGTACTAACCAAACCAAAACTTAACCTACACATATGCATATAGGTTAAGCGAATATTTTAATATGAGTCATCTATGTTTTAATTTAGGAGTGTGTTTAACAGTAGAAAACAAAGCAAAATGCAAAACCACCAGAATTATGCCTCAAAATTTGTCTAAGATAAAGCCAACCCACTCGTCTCAACTCAACATTCTTCATCAGAGTAAAGGAAAATAAATAAATAATACTTTTGCTTCAGATCTCCTTTGGATTTTAAAATAACAAAGGCATTTCAAAATTTGAATACTCCCTTGGATCTTCGGTTTCTATAAATTAAAATGACGTATTGCAATTGATAGTTGATACATATTTCTTGTAATATACAACAAGAAGTTGCCAAAAGCATATATGAAATATTTAGGAATTAAATTATATTCTGAAAGTACTTAAAAACCACTTTTTGAAGTTGGAAAAAGAAAACTTTGCAAGAGTGAACTTGAAAAAGACAGCTAATATAATGCATTTTCCCTATTTTACCCATACTTATACAATTTTTATTCTATTGAAAAGTCTCTAGTGCATTAAATAATAAAACATTGTTTCATTAATTTAAACTTAAATAAAAATAATCTTAATAAAATATAACCATACTCCTGAGATATTAAAAATAACAAGGGAAAATAAATATGCCTATATATATATATTTAAAAGTAAAAAATAAAAGATAAAGATAATGAAGGTTAATAATTCTGAATAAAAAAAAGTTAAATAATTATAATATTGACTGATTTATAACGGGAGACACTTACAGAGGTAAAACAAAATTTAAAAAAAGGTTAAACTTCATATTCCTTTTAGTTATAGTTATAAACTAAAATATAAAGATAATGAAATAAAATTAAAGATAAAATAATGAAAGTTAAACAATTATAAACTGAGTGATATATTTGCAATTGAGTGATTCTAAGAATAAAATAGAGTTAAAAATGAGTTATATGGACAAAATTTGGTTGTTTGGTTTGATTTTTTCTGTTTTCATCCTTAAAAAAACAGAAAATAGTGCTAAAAATACATTTGGCTAAATTGTTTAAAGCACTTTTCTTTGAAAACATTTTCAAAGAGTAATTTTAGACCCAACTTTCTTTTTCACTTTCTCATTCACAATATACTTGGAGCACTACAAAGTACAAACACTTAATTAGCAAAGGAAGGTGAAACATTGAAGGCATGGAAACACATGAACTTCTAAATTTTACATAAAAACACTTCACAAAGTTCTATTAAAAAATAATTTAATCAAACACATTTAATTTCAACATTTTTTTTTATTTTTTAAAAACATAAAATAAAAAGTCAAATCAAAGATAATTCCTAAATCTTAAAAACTTGAAAATGGGAACCATTTCTTAAAAAATAAAATATATTTCAAACTAAAATAAGCATAAATAGAGTTGTGATATGATGTTGTGGTGTGTATATCCCTTGCGAGACAGCTAAGTGCAATTAATTTAAGATATGCAAAGTGAATGAATAAGGATTGTTTGGTGGGGACAAGCACAAGCACTTACCCAAAACATTTGGGTACCACAGTTCTCACATTAATTAATGCTCCATAATTTTCTTCTTTAAGGTCGTAAAGCAGAAGATGAGCCAAACACTCAATCTATATAATGGCCCATCACATCTTCAGTGCTGTTTCCTGCTTTCAAAACTTTCACACTCAAAACTTTCAAAAACCTTTGCTTCTTTAAGCTTACTTGCTCATTTTGAGTTTAGTTTTATGGATACAGTCGGGGCACAATCTATTCACAAATCCCATTCAATTCAATTAGATTTTATTAGATTGGATCAAGTTATTGAGTTGGATTCAACATTTTTTAACGCCTAAAAATACGTTTTGATGAAAGAAGTAAAAAAGGTTTGGAACTTGGACATTTTCTCTGGGAAAGGCCCACGAAAGAATGATATGGTGTCATATTATTCTATGTTTGTCGTTAGTCTTTCTCTACCAACCTCGACAAATCACTAGCCTCCACCATATTTAAAACGAGGTTCAAGATATTTTATAAGAATAAATAACAACATTGGAATAAAAAAATAATAATTTTCTTTAATCTCTTTAACATGAAATGTTACCTTTTGAGTCTTTTAAAAAAAAGTTGTGTTAATTAAATTTCTTTATTTTAAAAAGAGTAATTTTATTTTCTAATTTAATATTAAATACTTTTGAAAATATTATTTAAACATTTGAAAGTTTATGGTAAATTTGAAATATAAAATTGTTTGTGTATACCTATAAGACGCAAGGACTTAACTGTCCCTGAGATCGAGTCCAGGTCAGATTCCGACCGAACTCCCCCGAGATCACCCTCGTAGGAGGGGATCAGGTCAGATTCTGATTGTTTCCATGCCTAGGCCAAAATCAGGTCGGCCCTTTTCCGACTCCCCCTTTGGTGTGCCGATACGGTAACATATTCTAATTACATTTAAAATATTGTTTTTCTAGAAAAACATTAAAAAATGATTTAATTTTAGTTAAATTCTCTTTATTAAATTTTCTTAATTACAAATTAGTAAGATAAAATGCACACCCATGTCAATAAAATATTGAGCAATTATTATACACTACAAAATTTTTGTAATCTTTCATAATTTTTATTTAAAAGTTGTCCCAAATACTATGTAAAAAAGTACATAATCCTTTTTATTTATATATATATATACCATAGAGTTATGACAGTGTTGCAAGTTACTACTATATAAGTTATAATTTAAAAAAAAAAAAAAAAGTAGTGGTAAAAGTTATAAGTTATAACCTAATTTAAGCGAATCCCGTGATTGACCTAAAATTTGGAGTTTTGGAGGGAAAAATAAAACCTTTTCTGAGTTCTGACACTTGCTTTCATTCCCACTCCCACAATTTCAATTTCCTTTTCTTAGTTCTCTTCCACTCCAAGTCCTCACCATGATCGATTCCCATCGCAAGAGACCCTTGGCGCACCATCCTTCAGCCTCCCTCCTCCTCAAACACTTCAACATCCCACTCCTTTCATCCGCCCAAAACGCCACCGTTTCGCACTGCCACTCCATGCGTCTTCGCGCCGACCACCCCT